TATCTCAAACACTTAACACGTGGCTTGTTTTCTAAAATACTTTTTTTTCCTGGCACAATACTTTGCTAACCAGGAACCCATATTCAGAACTGCTGGTGGCAATCCCAAACCATTCAAATGAATGGACACAATTCTGCACTGAAAGCATGTTCATATTAAACAGCCTCTTGTGTTATAATTTCTGGGCTGGGGGTAGTGAGTTGAATGAAGTCACCACACCCAGTCTGGACTGGGTCCAAGAAAACTATAATAACAGCAACATAATTATACAAATTGCACCTTTTAAAGCGCCAATTGCTTCATGCAGACAGTTCAAAAATTGAGTTGAAGAATTGATTAGAAAGGGTGATCAAACAAAAGCCAAAATGTCAAGTTAAAGGAGGGTCTGGGCAGAAGAGGGGTTCGAGGCAAATACTATAGTGTGAAATAAAATGAGAAACTACTGAAAAAAACTCAGCAGGTCTGGCAGCCTGTGTAGAGAAAGAGAGAGAAAAACAGAGCTAATATTTCTCAAGCCCAGTGACACAGAGGGGCCCCAGAGTAGTTGGAAAAGTAATCACAAGTTGGAAGGGAAAGGTGGGCATTGGACAACAGGTTGCCAAGGTAAAAAGGTAGTTTATAAGCACTCTCCAGCTAAAGAAGGTTACAGATTTATGAGGCTTAAAATGCTTTAATTTTAAGGATGAGACTTTTATTCCTGACAAATGGGTTGAGATAGGGACCAAGATAGATGATGCCAAGGAGGTGGAATGAACCATATCATTCAGATAAGTGTGAATACTCTTGTTCTCCCTGAGATGGAATTTGGAAATGGATTTAGGACACATCAACACATTCAAGGACTTTGGAGTGCAAAGAGAGGTTAGTATTGGACAGTAGTTTGCAAGGATAAGGTGCACACATTTAGTTTTTTGAGGAAGACAGTGATGACAACAAATTTAAAGGGGAGAGGTACAACATCTGGGAGAGAACAATTTACAATTTACTACACAGTCAGTGACGATATTGGGTGAGCATGTGTGGAAATTAGATAAAAGGAACTGAAGTTGGAACTCATGGATAAAATGAGATTAGAGAGGGCATGAGAGGAGGTGCAGAGAAACTAAAGAAAAGTACAGTTTCAGGGAGGGCAGGTTGGAGCTCCAAATGAAGTTTGGCCTGGCAGCCACTGGAAAGGAGGGACCTGGTAGAGGTAGCTGATTAGATTGTCATGAAGCTCGTGAGCTCCTTACACATTGCTGGAAGTGGAAATAAGATCAAAATTGTTGATTTTTTCTGAAGATTGCAGTGTCCACTATCATGCTTGACTCCTCAAGTTCTGAAAGAACATACGTAGCAAACATTCCATCTTGAAAACCATTCAATATTTAGCTGCATTCTCGCTATCCAAATGCCAGCCCTGACCACTTCCAACAAACAAGAACCTGATCATCTCCTTTTGACATTCAATGTCATTACCTTCACTGAATGCCCCTGAATCAACATTCTTGGAGCAGAGGTCAGAAGGCAGGTGTAAACAATTTTAATCACTGGGGCCCATTCTCTATGGATGAGGGGAGGGAAAGGAGCTCATTAGCCATAAAGTAGCACTACAAAACACAAATTCACCCCCAAAACACACAGGAGCATTCAATCAAAGGAGCATCTTGTGTGGAATGGATAGATATCTGAGGAGCTGCTCCTCCAATCACAGGCTGATTTTTTTTTTCTGTTCTTGCTGCTGATAGGTTTATTAGTGAGTTCATCAGCAGCAAATGTGTAGAACCAGCTTGTGATTGGAGGAGCAATGGCGGGGGTGGGGAGTGAGACAGAGACAGAGACAGAGACAGAGACAGAGACAGTGAGGGAGGCTACAGTAGTCAGTAGCAGAGAAAAAGAGAGTGCGAGAGGCTGCAGGAGTTGAGTGTAAGAGAGAGACAGAGAAAGGTATCCGGAAGTGGTGGAAAGACAGTGAGGAGGCCGGCTCCAGGGACTGGGATGGGGGGAGATGCAGGAACTGGGGGAAGATAGAAAGAGAGAAGGATGCCCTGGAGTTGGAAGAGGAAGACGAGAAGAGAATTGAGGCTGCAGGTTGGGGAGATAGGGGTAGCTTCAAGGAGGTGAGAGTGGAAACTGCAATATAGGGAGAAGAAGCATGAATGAATGAATGATTTATTGTCACATATCCATGGAAATATAGTGAAAAATGTTCTGTCACCACAATCTGGTGCCATTTTGAAGTCCAACAGAATGAGAAGAAAGTACTTAAATAGAGTTCATTTTCATCATCTGAGGTCCCAAACACGGCTCCAGGGCTTATTCAAGGTGTCTGCGAGTTCCTTGCTCTGGGCCTATTCCACCATCGCTGCAGCCAATGCCTCACTGCCAATTCCAGGAGTCCACGTATCAGGCCTGCAAAGCCAGGAGTCCCCACTCCAATCGCTCCTGACACCACTACAGCCTCCTTGCAACGTCAGGAAGATGAAGCAAAGAAGAAGAAAAACAAAAGAAAAAGGAAAAGGAGAGAGGGAAAAAAGAATATGGCAAGCTTGGAGCGAACAGGCCTACCATGCCGATGCTGCCATTTGAATAGCTGAATGAGGCTGCGAAGGGGAAAGGAACGGAGGCTGTAAGGTGGGGAAAGGGAGGTTGGAAGGGGTAGGAAGGATTCAATGGGATACAGGAGAGGCATGCTGGTTGCAGAAGAAAGTGAAGTACTTTAAACTATTTTAAACAATGGAATTCTCAACTAACTAGGAGCCAGGAAAACTGAATATCACTAATAAATTCCTTTCAAATTAATGTGAAATAAGGCTGCATATGCTTAGGAGCTACTATGTGGCTGAGAAATGTAATGGATTCTATTGTAATGAATACTGTGTTAAATTTAAATCTGAGATTGAGATCTCAGATGCAGTGAAACAGGTCATTTATTCCTGGTTAAAATCTTCGAGCCTTGTGGATAGATGATGGAAATGGAGTAGTTGTTAGCTCTCCTGTTTGTTGAAGGACTATTTAGAGTGATGGCTTAATGTGCGTAGAAGTGTGTCAGATATCTTGAATATAAACCTTTGTCATTTAACTTCTGCCTGTTGTCATGTGTCAATTTAATGTCTGTAGGGACTAAAAAATTATCACTTTCATTTTGTGTTATAGTTTTAATGTTAATGGAGTAGAAATAATTATCGAGGATCTTGATGTATTCTGCTAACATTGCTAATGTGAGTACAAATACCTCATATGTCAACATGACATAGAACTTATTATGTGACACTATCACTTAATAAATGAGTGAGCAACAAGCTCCCAAACACAAGAGAAGCACCAAGGTACATGATTTCTATTTCTGGCTATGCCCAGAAGTCATCATTAATTAGCTTAACTGCATGAGCCATAAAAATATCATGCTTACAACAACAGATCAAATGCTAATAATTTTGTAGCTACTTATTGATCTCCTGACTCCCAAAACTTGACTAAAAAGCACAAGTCAGAAGTGTAATAGAATCGTCTCCAGTTATCTGAATGAGAGCGGCATCAACAACATTTAAGAAGTTTGATTCCATCCATGACTTGATCAACTTGATTGGCATACCAATCACCACTTTAAACATTCCATCCTCTACCTCTGGCACACAGAGGCAACAGTCTGTAATTTCAACACGGCATACTGCCTTCCAAACTCCTAATGTCTATCATCCAGAAAGACAATACCAGCATAAGATTATAAGATATATGAGCAGGATTAGACAACTTCGACTATTGGGTCTGCTTCATCATTTGATCATGGCTGATATGTTTCTCAACCCCATTCTCCTGCCTTCTCCCCATAGCCCTTGATCCCTAGCACGTGCAAGTTCACTTTCAAGTTATGTACCATCCTGACATGGAACTATATTGCTGTTTGTTCTCTGTCACTGGTTCAAAATCTTGGAACTTTTACTATAACAGCACTGCGGATTTACTTAAAGATATTAAGAACTAGGAGCAGGAGTGGGCAATTCAGTACCCCGAGCCTGGTTCACCATTTAATATGATCATGGTTGATCCCATCTTAGCTGCAACTCCACTTTCCTTCCTTCTCTCCATAACCCTACAATCCATTACTAATTAAAAGTCTGTCTATCAGCTCCTTAAATTTACCCAATGTCCCAGAACATATATGGTCTAGGGCAGTGAATTCCACAGATCTACAAAACCCTTTGAGAAAAGTAATTTCTCCTCATCTCTCTTTTAAATTTGCTACTCCTTATCCTAAAACTATGACCTCTTATTCTATATTTTTCACAGGAAGAAACGTCTTCTCTATGTCCACTTTGTCAACCCCTTTGATATCTTACATAGCACGATTAGATGCCCTCTCGTTCTTCTTTGTTGTTTCCTTCTTGGTTTACTTTTGCTTCTGATCTTTGCCTTTACTTTATTTTCATTTTCTCTTGCCCCTTTCTATTCTTCTTTTCAAGTTGGTCGGCAGCACCAGCACGGCAGTGAGAGAGGGGGATGTGGTTTCTCTCGCCAATTGGAGGTGGTGCCAGCAAATGCTTTCTCTCGCCATTCGGGGCCTGTGGCAGCATCAGCGAGTGCGTTCTCCCAGTATTCGGGGCCAACAGCAGCAGCAGCGGCAGGGTCGTCCTCCCCCAGTTTTCGGTGCTGGTGGCAACAGCAGAGAGGTTGTTCTCCTGGCATTAGGTGCTGGTGGCAACAGCAGAGAGGTTGTTCTCCTGGCAT